GCCTCGCTCGAAACATCCTCAAAATCTGAACCGACAGCGGAGGATGTCGGGTGATGAAACAAGCAACCCGCTCGAAGACATCCCCGCAATCTGGGCGCGAACGGAGGAATGAGATACCCCCTGGCGGCTCCCCCCTGGGGGTGCGAAAACTAGCGCCGCGCTCGAGACATCCTCAGAATCTCCTCCGAAAGTAAAGCATGTCGGGTGGTGAAACAGGCAAGCCGCCCGAGACATCCCCGCCATTTTGGCGCGAACGGAGGAGCGAGATTCCCCCTGGCGGCTCCCCCTTGGGGGTGCTGACACCCGCGCCTCGCTCGAGGCATCCTCAAAATCTGCTGCTGCATCATCATCATCATCATCATCATCAGCAGCAGCATCATCATCATCATCATCATCAGCATCATCATCACCACCATCAGCATCAGCATCAGCATCAGCATTAGCATCAGCATCAGCATCAGCATCAGCATCAGCGTCGTCATCATCATCCTAATAGTCATCATCATCATCACCACCATCACCACCATCACCATCATCAGAATAATCATCAATGACACCATCATCATCGTCATTATCATCCTCATCAGCATCACCATCATCAGCATCATAATCAGCATCGTCAGCATCACCACCACCACCATCATCATCAGCATTATCTTCATCATCGCCAGCACCATCACAACATATCATGACAGAACACAATGTAGCATTGCATACCATAAGCATTATTTACCATTACACATCATAAAAAAGGTCACGGCATGCCATACCATGCCATATCATGATACGTCATAACATAACTATTCAAAACAATAAAACACACCAAAACATGTCATGCCATTACAGACAATCCCACAATTCATCGAAACATCGTATGGCAGAACATCGCATGAGAAGGAAGAGGGATGGAGGGAGGGGTGTGTGGGAGTTAGCACGACCGGAGTAGTTATTCACTGCGTGGAGCTCCCCAAATGTGACTCTATTTGCACGGACCTGTCCGCCGTGAGCGTCTAAGCGCAAGATTTTTCGAGTATAAACGGGCTTGAGTATTAACGGTCTGGGAGTAAATATAACTGTGAATGAGTTGGAGCGTGACTGAGTCTCAGTAGTATTAGTGCGTCTCTGCGCATGAGCCTAGGGCCTCCTGGGGCCTCTTGAAACCTCCTTGGGCTTCCTGGTGCCTCCTGGAGCCTCTTGGTGCCTGATGTGGCCTCTTGGGGCTTCCCGTGGCCTCCTGTGGCCTCCTGGAGCCTCGTGTGGCCTCCTGAGGCCTCCAGGAGCCTCCTGCAGCCTCCTGGGGCCTCCTTGGGAGGAGTCGGCCCCAGAGGCCCAATATGTAGGAACAGGCGTAAAACACTTCGGATTGGAGCCGCAGGAAAGGGGCAATCGATAGGGACACACGTGAAACAACAAGGTCTCGTTCCCCAGGGGAGGCCCAATCTATAGGAACAGACGCAAAACAATTGTGAGTGAGCACACAGGAGAAGGACAATACATAGAAACAGTCGTAAATCACAAAATATTCGTACTCCAGGTGAGGCACCATCTATAGGAACATACGTGAAACACTTGGGATTGGAGCCACCCCTGTGGCCTTCTGAGGCCTCCTGGTCCTGGTGTCTCGTGGGGGCTCCTAAAGCCTTAAGAGGCCTCCTGGCACCGTCTGTCGCCTCCTGTGACCTCCTGTGACCTCCTGTGGCCTTATGAGGCCTCCTGGTGCTTCCTGTGACCTCCTGGAGCCTCTTGGGGCCTCCTGTGGCCTCCTGCAGCCTCCTGGGACCTCTTGTGGTTTCCTGTGGCATCCTGATGCCTCCTGGGACCTCCTTTGGCCTCCTGAGTCCTCCTGGAGCCTGCTGGAGCCTCCTGTCGCATCCTGAGGAAGATCCGTGCCCACGAGTCTGGCCAGCAAAACAAGCAAACCGTTAGAGAACTCCTCCAATCTGGGCCACCAGGGGTGCGAGAAACATCGCCTCACTCGAAACACCCTCAAAATCTGCTCCGAAAGCTGAGGATGTCGGCTGGTGAAACAGGCGGACCGCTTGAGGCATCCCCGCATTTTGGGCGCGAGCAGAGGAATGAGATACCCCCTGGCTGCTCCCCATAGGTGTGCGAAAAACCAGCGCCTCGATCGAGGCATCCTCAACATCTGCTCCGAAAGCAGAGGATGTCGGGCGGTGAAACAAATAAACCGCTCGAGACATCTTCACCGCTTTGGCGCAAACAAAGGAATGAGATACCCCATGGCGGCTCCTCCTTGGGGGTGCTGAAACCGCGCCTCGCTCGAGACACCCTCAGAATTTGCTCCGACATCATCATGATCATCATCAGCAGCAGCAGCATCATCAGCATCATCAGCAGCATCAACATCATCAGCAGCAGCATCATCAGCATCATCATCAGCGCTGCCAACATAATGAATAACATAACATAGCATAGCAAATATGCCAGACCAGAACATAACATACCGTACATAAACATAGCATAGCATTATTCACAGCGTGGAGCTCCCCAAATGTGCATCTATTATAGTGTGGGCTTGTCCGCCGTGAGCGCCTAGGTGCAAGAGTTTTCGAATATTCACAGGCTTGAGTATTGACAGTGTGGGAGTGCATCTAACTGTGACTGAGTTGGAGTGTGAATGAGTCTCAGTAGTACGAGCGCGTCTCTGCGCATGAGCCTGTGGCCTCTGGGGCCTCCTGAAACCTCCTGGGGCTTCCTGGAGCCTCCTGGGGCCTCGTGTGGCCTCCTGGGGACTCCTGGAGCCTCCTGGAGCCGCCTGGGGCATCCTGGGGAGGAGTCGTGCCCCAGGAGAGGCCCAATAAATAGGAACAGACGTACATAAACTACTGCGGATTGGAGCCACAGGAGAAGGGCAATCTATAGGAGCACACGTAGAACACCAAGGACTCGTGCCCCAGGGGAGGCCCAATCTATAGGAACATACGCAAAACACTCAGGATTGGATTCACAGTGGAAACATACGTAAACCACCAAGGATTCGTGCTCCAGGGGAGGTCCCATCTATAGGAGCCTACGTAGAACACGTTGGATTAGAGACACTCCTGTGGCCTTTTAAGGCCTCCTACTCCCGGGGCATCTTGGGGCCTCCTGGTGCCTTCCGGGGCCTGCTGGTGCCTCCTGTCGCTTCCTTCGGCCTCCTGGGGCCTCCTGTCGCTTCCTGTGACCTCCTGGAGCTTCCTTGTGCCTCCTGAAGCCTTCTGGAGCTTCCTGTGGCATCCTGGAGTCTCTTGGGGCAGCATGTGGCCTCTTGAATCTTCCTGTGGCCTCCTGGTGCCTCCTGGGACCTCCTGTTGCCTCCTGGGGCCTTCCGGAACCTGCTGGAGCCTCCTGTGGCATCCTGGGGAGGATCCGTGCCTACGAGTCTGGTCACCAAAACAAGCAAACCGTTTGAGACATCCTCAAAGTCTGCCCCCGCTTGGGGGTGAAAACGAGCACCTCGCTCGAGACATCCCCAACATGCACTCCGAAAGCGGAGGATCTTGGGCATGCAGACAGGCAAACCGCTCGAGACATCCCCGCCGTTTTGGCGCGAACGGAGGAGTGAGCTACCCCCTGGCGGCTCCCCCTTGGGGGTGCTGAAACCCGCGCCTCGCTCGAGCCGTCCTCAAAACCTGCTCCGCCATCATCATCATTATCATCATCATCATCATCATCATCATCATCATCATCATCATCATCATCATCATCATCATCATCATCATCATCAACAGCATCCTCATCGTCGTCAACATACTCTTATCGTCACCACTCGGCATTATCATACTCTGAGTACATCAACATACTCTGAGTAGGATGGGGAAGATAGGGAGGAGGTGACCTGAAGGAGTCGGCGCGGTCAGAGTCATAAGAACCCCATCCTTTGGATATGGGGAATCACATAAAATACCATATCATAGCGTAACATACCAGTGTAATCATAGCACAGCATTACATACCACAACCTAATATAAAACAGCATAGCAAAACATAGCATAACATAACCTACCATGACATAACATGAGGAAGAGGAGGATGAGGAGGAGGAGGAAAGAGTGAAGGAGTTGGCGCGGTCGGAAAAATAACAGGAACCCCATCTTTTGGATATAGGGAATAACAAAAAACTCATCCTTTGGATACGGGGGATGAGGGAGGAGGGAGTGAGGGGAGGAGGGAAGGAGAAAAGTAGGGGAAGGGAAGGAAGGAGTGACGGCGGGGAGAAGGAGGGGGAGAACGAGGAGGAAGAACAGCAGCATTAGTAGCATCAGTAGGAGCCTTCCCCCACGTTTTCTCCAAACCACTCCACACGCCCCCCGCTTCACTTGCCTGCTTTCCTCCGCCTCCTCAATTTCCGTCCCCAACCCCCATCCCAAATATCCCTTCTTCCTTCCACCGACCCCCCCCATTCCGTTCTCTGCTTACGGTCGGGAACGTTTGCCTAGCGTGTCTCCCAGGCGGCCTGGGCGACACGCTATACCTTGAGAGCGGGAAGCGTGTCGCTCCGCTCTGCGGGGCGGGAGGCTTGGAAAGGCTCGGGACGTGGACCCCTGGGGACTGGGAAGTGGATAGCATGTCGCGCTGAGGCGTGGTGGGCCGAACCCCGGCAAAGCGACACGAGATCCAAGAGTTCCCGACCGTACCCCTTCTCCCTTCCACGGACATCCCCCCCATCCCGTTCCCCTCTTACCTTCTGCCTCCGCTCCATTACTCCACCCCTCACCCCCCTCATCGAAGGCGTCCAAGAGGTGGGCGTCCAAGAGGGGAGGTCGCAAATCATGGTCCGAGGCATGTGCGCGGCCCGGGGGGGGGGGCCTGGAGACCTGGAGACGCCCTGAAATAAGAAGACGGAGCCATGAGGTCCGGGGAGAGATCATGGCCCCAGCCATGATATCCACCCCCCCTCCAGTAGTCATCACCCCACCTCTTGGCTGCTACCGACCTCATCTGCCCTCTCTCCCCTCCATCTGCCTCTTCCCCTCCCAGCCCTGCCCGCGATGCACGGCCTGCCCTGGGCTCGAAGAATCTGCGCTCCGCCTC